GGCATTGCAGCTAGAAAAGCGGGAGGGTGCTTTCTTGTCTCGGTGAAGCCACACCTTCCATCAGGAATTGTCCCAACCAATGGTCGATGATCTGGATAATCCCTGTGTGCAGAGACAGGAAATTGTGTCAAACATTTAGCATCATGTGAGATTCTGTCTGACTGGGGCTTCCGCATTAGAAGAAAATCTATATTGCTTCGTCCCCCAAGAGGACGACAGGCCGCTAGTGGCCAGGCTCGGGCGGTCAGAGGCTTCTGCAAATCCGAACAAATCTCCATGTTCTATGTCCACTATAGAGGAGCCGGACATGGGTGGATTAGGCTTTCCAGTTCTAGCAAGTATGTGACCATCATTTCGTCATAAGCACAAGCCGTTGGCACCGTTGATCTATGCGCTTGTTTAAGCGCCAACCTGTCTCCACCAGGTACAAACAACGCCACTTTTGGCTCGGCCATACCACTTCTTCTACATTCTGGTGGTAATGGGACACCTTTCCTGTTGCCTCTCCTATCTGGCATGTCAATTGCATATTGTGCAATCTTCTTGTCAACTCTATCCTTTTCTTTAACATAGAAGCCAATGACCTCCTCGAAGGTATACTTGACATAGTTTTTGACTTTGCACAAGTCTGTGCTACATACTCCTCGAGTTGACGTTTTGCATCTTTCGCACGGCTTCTGCACTCGCCACATTCTCCTTGGACTTCTGCACTTCTTCGAGTGCCTTTGTGGCCGCAGCCTGCAATTGTGTGACTCGCGTCATCCTCGTAATTAAAATCCTCGCTTCTAGGAACAGGAGCGATGCACGGCAACTGCACTCCCTTACCCAAAGCTCAGTCAGAACTTAACGCCGACAGCCACGTACCCAATCTTCTATTAAGGCTTGTACGCTCATGAAGATCAAGGACTGATTTGGTTTGAAACATGCATGTTTTCAGGAGTCGTCCCAGCCTGTCCAGTCAGGCTAATTATTGAAACAACTGTCGCATCGAATTGCACCACAGTCACACCACAGACTTCCTTTGCACGTGTATTTCCACTGATGCATTTCCTCAAACAATAGCTCACTGCTCTCCGCGGAGAACTAGAGTGCCATTATCACTGATTTGGCAAGTCCCTAATTGTCGCAACCCTAGGGTTTTGCCACTGGATTTACCCCCAGTCAAGGCTGCTGTGTTTGCCCCAGCTTGGCCCGATCTACCCCGGCGGGGCGGGGCTGACAGGCCCCGCTTTCGCTCTTGTTCATAGATAGATAGATAGATAGATAGATTAGATTAGATTAGATTAGATTAGATTTAGATTTAGATTTAGATTTAGATTAGATTTAGATTAGATTAGATTAGATTAGATAGATAGATGTATAGATGGAGGTATCTTCGGTTTAAACTCAACATGTTGGGACGTGTTAGGACACTCCCAAACCTAAACACATCCAAACAACACCCCTCAAGGCCACACCGCTGGCCTACGCCTCGATGATCCGAAACAGTGAACGGGTGCATCGTTCCAGAGGACCCTGCAGGTCACACTGCACGTTCGCCGGATGAACCGGTGGGAACTAACCGAAACGCACGGACGAAACGGTGAAGATCCCAGGCTTCCCCTGCGTGGTTGGACAGCCAGGTGTTGGCGAAGACCGCGTAGCCCGGCACCTCACCACCGGTGGGCTGCAGTGGTGAGATGGGCTGCGGGGATGATTTCCAAGGCCCGCAGCCTTGGATTTGAGGGTCATCAACTGGGAAAAAACTTCCCCTACACCTCCAGTCGTACCTCCTCAGAAGGTACTTGGAGGCCTATAGGGATCTAAGGTGGTTTCCAAGGGATTGACGCAATACATGTGGTTCTTCAACCTGAGCAACACCAGGTGTACTCGACGGGTGTTCGAGGCTCGAAGGAGCTTGAAAGTGCTTGCAATTGGAGCTCAAAGGTTAGTGTCCACTTGGAATTGCTTAACGAACCTGGAAAAGTAAAAATAAGGTTCACCAGAAAGGGAAAACCAGGTCCAAGTACCTCATTTTTGCACTTTCCATCCATCCATCCATCCATCCATCTATCCATCTGCCCATCCATCCGTCCATCCGTCCATCCGCCCGTCCGTTGCTTGATCCGTCAACAGATGCCCAGAGCTGTGGAAATCGAAAAGTTAAGGATGCTCCCAGAAGGAGATTTGGTCCACCAGAAGGATTGGTCATGATGAGCCGTGGAGGACGCATCATCTTTGAGTATTAAAGCATGACGAATCACCTTTTCTTTCGGTAAAAGCAAGGCTACGGCCATCAGTTTTTACTATATTGTAATCTATTGCAGGGATCTGAGTAGATGGCACCACCTGTTTGGTATTCGGATGTCATGGTCATCCATGCGTTCTCCACATCACCATGAATCTGTCGAGGAGTGGAGATGCAGTATGCCTTGAAGGCGGTCCACAGCCCTGTTCAGATCCTGAGAATGGTCGCACCTGGAGCCCCTAAACTCCTAGGGATCCAATCACCTTCTCAGGTTCGGTACGACTGGACCCGACCCTGGCACCTACATAACAGTATCTCCAATCACCGTACCTGAGAAGGTACTTGGATGCCTAGGGAACTACCCTCTATAAGGTGTCTCGCCTGGTAGGCCGCTCGATTCCTTTTCGGTGAAAAAAAAACGGTCAGTCCTCCGGCGCCATGACCCGACGCTGAGCCCGGAACATCGTAGCTCTTCCCGTGCACGCTGAGGTTTCGCCGACCCAGGTGCTGGCAAATTGAGCTTCAAAAATTGGCCGGCCGGTGACTTAGAATCAGCCAGGACTTCAGAATGTTTCGAAACACTCCATGTATCGATTATTTACCTACCTTGGTGTACTTTCAGGATGTTTCAGGGGTCCATGGAGGTCAACTTCTAGTCCCAAACAGGTCGTGTCTGGAACAAAATACTTGGAAACAACCGTTTGATGGCAGTTGTTGGTTGACAAAATTCAATCATTCAGTCGGAACTGGGGAGTCTAAACGTCCAAATATATATATATATATATCTTCATGTGTCTTTGTTGCGCAGCCTTCGGCTTTAGAAACATCCAGAAATTGGCAGGATTCTCAAAATGATCAGTCTTTGGAGGCTGCTCCCAATATTCTGACAAACACCCTGCAGAAATGCGCGAACAAACACAATGATTTGCTTTGCCAAGGCTAAGTGCATGACGCAGAAGGGTGGGACTCCCTTTAGCCACCGGGGGAAGAGGGAGGTGTGGGTGGACAATCATCAATAGCCTGGCCAAATGGATCCAAATCCGGATTTACTTGCTCAAACTGTGTGTTCCAGCTAGCAACACTGTCATGATTCCCTGTCTTTACCCACCAACTATGATCCGTCGTGCCAAAGCTCACAATCCACTGCCCAGCACAGTACCCAAATCTCTGATCAACTAAACTTGAAATTGTAATGTTTATCTATATGTCTATAGCATATCTTGGCACACTTCCTGCAACCAACCAGTAGATATCATCACCAACCAACCATCGATCATCGAAGCAGGCGCTCTGTCGGGTCTGAGCCATGAAAACCGGGTTGATTTGGTCCTCTCTGGGGTGATTTGGTCTGGGTCTGGTTGTCCATCAATGCGCATCACTGCGAGATACCAGGCGGGTCAAACGATCTCATGAACCCTGGTTGAATCACTCGGTGCAGCTCCTGCCGTTCGACCTGGGGTCCACGTGAGTGAGTGAGTTCGACCCGGGAGCGTTGGAGTAATCCCAGGGGTCGAGCCTTAGGACCAAAGACCGAACTTGGGTGGTAGAACGATCCCTTTGGGGCGGCATCCTCTCCATTCATCAACCAACTAATAATACAGGCCACTGCCTTAAGGCCATCTATGATCTGGCTGGGGTGCCTTCCTATCATCTTCTATTAAGCACACTCATTCAACAGTCGCCCTGAAATAAGGCCCGTGTCACAGAATGGAAGATCTTCCAATCACCTGCCATTCATTCTGGTCATTTTGATGCACATCACTGCTTCATCACCCAACTCCCTGCAGAATCAGCCAACTCTGCGGCACTTCTTTTGTCCCTCAGAGCAACTCCCTGGCGACCAACCTGGCGCGTTTGGTGCCAAAGATGGAAAGACCTGGGAGATCTCATCGCGTCGATTCCTAAGTGTCTTTAAACCAGTGTTAGTGAACCATTCCATATATATAGCGTTGGGTGCCGAACTGGCCCCTGTCACATTCACTCTTTGTGTTGGACCCAAAACCATTGAAACTGCTGGAATGCATAGGCATCCCCAGCTGTCGACAGACACTTCATGTCTGGTATATGGACCGATCAGGTGAGGCAGTTGCAGTGAGGGTGATGGTCTCCTCTCTGCCGCAGGCAGCGAGAAAACCATCCCTACGAAGCTAATTTGAGAAGCTTAACGAGTGCACGAATAGACTAAGAACTAGAGTTTCCACTATATACCCTAGTGCTCCAAGTACCTGCTCAGATGGTATGACTGGACCCTCTAAACCCACCCCAGTCCCACCTTATTCTTAGAAGGTACGACTGGAGCCCTAGGGATATAGGTCTCAACCGGCTGAAATGGAGACTTAAAACTGGCATACGTTGACCTGTTGGAGGGTGTTGCTGGAGTGCGATCCTTTACATATAAAGTACGTACACTTTCCTGGGGACCGTTTTTTTGCCAAAGAACGCTCCAATACTTACCGTGGTTAGTGTTTCCTTTTCTTGCATGAGATGTCGAGAAATGATTTCATTAATTTTGAGATTTAGTCCCCCTAGGCCTCCAAGTACGTACCTTCTGAGAAGGTGTTTGGGGTGGGTTTGGAGGGTTCAAATACCTTCTGAGGAGGTACTTGGAGGTGTAGGGTCCATCATTGTGAACATCCTGAGAATGAAGATCAAAAACATAACATCCGCAAGCTGGGGCTGTTCACTTGTGAAATCTATCTTGCTGTTTGCAACAGGACCTGGCAAAAACCCGCTGCGCTCTCCCGCGTGGGCGCACCTCTGCTTTCAGCCGTCCCTAGAAGGACTCGGAGTTGACAGGCGGCTTCGTGCAGAGGAAGAGCCAGAAGCAACTGCCAATGGAGCTTCGTGTAGTAGCAAGAAGCTACTAGCAACAAAGGGCATCGCTACGAACGGAGCGATCGGACGCTACGAACCTGGCCTTACTACGAACGGAGCAAGAAGCTATTAGGTGGAGCGTCATGTACACCCAAATGGCTGTGGATCATGGCATCAGGAGACCCAGATCGTTGACCGACCTGGTCGGTCGTACAGTCGTACGCCACATGGTGGACGACCGTCGGGCTACAGGTTGTGACTCATCCCCCGACATCGGTAACATGAACGTTGACATTGTGTAGGCAAACATCCCCTTGACATTGTGGCCATGCAAGCAAAGAGTGGTCCATCAACTGCAGGTAGGAAGACTTACTTCTACCCTACCCCTATCCTCCAATAGGCACCCCTTTGTGACCCCTGGCATATTATAGTCCAGAACACAAAGAATTTGTCATGCCCGTGTGAGCATCTTCAGACGTAAAACTATTAGTCTTCAACAGCAATTGCAAGACGCTCACGATCGGCTAGATCGTCCCTCAAGCTAGTAATGTCTATGATCCAAAAGTCGCAAGGATGTGAGCAATCAATCAATTTTTGCCCCAACAGCTCAGCAAAACACTGTTTTCATGCCCAGGTCCAGTCCTCATTCCAAATCCAAAGCAACCACACTCTTCCACACTCGAGCAGCCACTCGCCTGTTGGCGCGATCGTCCTCACCCTGGCAGTGCGGGAATTCGGGCGATCGCGGGCTTTCCAGCCGGTCAGCTGCTTGAGACCATGCAGGACTGAGGCCTTTCTAAAGGTTCATAGCCTAGGGTGTACGCGCTACACTGCTATGCTGTGTACGGTATGCCGCGAACCCGCAGCCGGTCAGAGATAAAGGTTCATAGCCCCCCAGGTGGTCCAACAGCTTTAGTAACCCCTAGGGATCCAAGTACATCCTCAAAAGGTACTTGGACCCTCCTGGCACCCACCCCAATCACCATCTCAGAGGGTACGACTGGATCCTTAGGGAACAGTATGTCTATCAGGACCCAGGGTAGTTGGGTACTTGGACACCCCGCGTCCTCACCTCTTTGGACAGGGGCGTTTGTTAGACACCCCCGTCGGCGACCTCGCTGGCTTACTATCGTAGGGGGTCTTGTTCTGAAGGATTCCCAGTGCAATCTTTTTAGGGTCTACAATCTGACAATCTGCAACGAACTCCTGGACACAAGAGGGCTATCGGACCAGTATAGTTCATGGTCGGTCCTCGCATAGGCATATAGCCGTATCTTCTCATCTCACTGGACGATATTTGATATGATATATCTCTCTGCTCTGTCTTGTGATGCCACACATATAGTAGCGTATTCTCATTTCCAGGCTCCCTTATATCTGCGCAGCGGGTTAACCAAAACATCACCTGATTCGCAAAACCGGTGGTGTGGGGACCAGGTCCCATGGTGACCATGGTGACCATTGACCGAAAAGAGCCACTGGAGGCTCCAGGACTCTAGGAATCTACCAGGACCTTCAAAGTGACCTAACTTGAGATCCTAGAATGAGGTCACGAATCGTCCCGAAAGAGGTCACTTGGAGACTCCAAAGAGGTCACTTTGAAGGTCCAGGTAGGACAAACATATCAATATCCATGAAACCCGAGATCAAGGATGTTCGAATCTGGGAGCTGCAGCCAAAATGGGGTCCTCCTCGACTGGCAGGTCGTTCATGTTTCTTAAACGTTGCAGTTGGTGCATTGTTGCTGTCCAACACATCCCAAGGTCTCCGATCCTGGGTCTCGAGTTGGGTTCACCCCTCTCTGCCTCGTGTGGGTCAAGGTCGCCTGGCTGACAAAAAACAAGGGCAGAAAGAAGGGTGCGAGATCAAACACTCTTATCGTATGGGTATGAGTGAAAAACATGAAGAACCGACCAAACGTCTGGCTTCAGGACAACCACACAAACATGGCACATCAATAGGAAGAATGGAGGAAGGATGAGGAAGGTGAGGAATGTAGCCATATATGTTTGGAATGCCACAAGGTCGATCATCTACTTCAGAAACTGTTCTTTCTTCATGTGATGAACTTTAGCTATGCTTGTAGGAAGAAAAAGGGTTTTCTGGTAGTGACCGGTGGTGATAGTGACCGGAGCGACCTCTGAAGAATGATTCCGCGACCTGTGAGTGCTAGAAAATCCCTTGAGGCAAGCAAGTGGCTATCGCCCACACGCAAGGGTGCCTAGCGGGATAGTGGAGGCATCTGAAGTCCAGAAGTTTGCAAATGAGGAACCCTAATTCTATGATGAACCTCTGCACCCCCATCGGGAATTCCAGCAACCCGCAGTTAAAGTACATGGGATATCATTGGATTGAGTTCTCTACTATGAACATACTATAATTGGTAAGGATATACTTGCCAACACGACCAGCATCATCCATCCAGCGTCACAGGTCTGCCTCCATCGCTCTTTGGCAATTGGGCGACCTGCGACGATCGACTCCATCGATCCGTGGCTTCGTCACATGGGTCATAGCACCAGGAGACCAACCGGTTGATCTACCGGCGATGCTTGCGAGTCTATGAGTCTATCACATCCCAATGCCCTGCAGCTTGGCTTGGTACATGGGATGTGGTACATATCCATATCCACTAAACAGAGAAAATGTCCGAAGTCGCCAGTGATGACGAATTGGGAAGTCCAAGTTGCCCCGGTTGAGCCCTACCACTCACTTCATCATGAAAGCCCCACATGGTCAAAGCCCCATGAGACTCTAGTACTACTTCTAATACTATCTGGGCCTCCGGAAGCCTCTGGAAGGTCCCCTCTGTAACCTACGATGAGAGATTGACCCACTTTCCCAAGGTTGACCTGCATGTCCACAGCTGGTTCAGTGCAACTTCGATCCTAGTGAGCTTAAATTTGCTGCTTCAGGAAAGGGAACATACATTAACTAAACAATCACTCGAAGGGGCACTAGAAGGGGATGATTCACCGAAAAACACATATCTAAAATCACCCGAAGCAAAAAACAAGGGTGAGCATGCTCCCGCCAAACATGGAAGTGGAAGGCGCCCCCTCTGAGAAGAATATGATCGTCGTCTCGGTCTTTGAATCCCATGGATCATTTCAAGCCCACCCAGACGTTCCACCCTTGGGTCCCTCAAAACCATAGGGTTTGGTTCGGGTCCAGACCCCTGCATATGAGGGTCCAGGAGCCAGAAACGGCCACAAAGAATCGAAAATGGTGTCGCCAAGAACAAAACCACCCCAGACACGACCTGCCATAGGACTGCCATGTCGGACTGCCGCCCCAGACTGGCACCCCTGGCCATTATCTGGGAACGGTCTCGGTCTTTAGCTCCGGGAGCGACAAACGTTTGAAGCCCCACCTGGATGGCAGGGACCTTTGAAATACCATGTTCCTCCGGATCTCTTCCAGGAACCCTTTTGGAACACCCTTTGGATCTATTGGTTTGAAAAGGTTCCATGTGAATCTCTGGAAAGGATCTGAAGGCCACTCTGATCGGTTCACAGGGCCGCGCCTGTACTTTCCAGGGTCGAATGGCCTCCTGAGGGCGGCGAGGGCTGCAGAGGATGAGACAGCGAGGAGAGTTCATCAGACATCAAAAACCTGGTCATTTGTCTCGGTATACACTTGTAACTAGCAACTTCTAAATGAGAAACCCTACAAGTAAAGTACAGTATTATAGGCCAGTATATGTATATTGCTTATTTTCATTCTTATTCATAGTTTCTATAGGTTTCTGTAGACTTTGGGCCAATTCCTGAGGGATTCACTCTATAGAGCTTGGTGAACTTAGGGTGCACTTCGACTTCCTGCATACCTCGAGGCCCGAACCATACCGGGCCGAACGCCAAAAGACACCGAGCAGACACCACTCCTGCGCACTGTTGAGGCGCAAAAGGTAGGGGAGGCGCTCTGCCGGGCCCGAGTGCGAGATCAGCAAGAAGATCTGGGCGGGGGCGCTGAGCGGCGAGTGGCGACGGGCGCTGGGCGTCCGCCCGCCCAGGCCCAGGTCAAGAGGTCTACAGGCCCAGGTGAGGTCAGGTCGAGGTGAGGTCAGAAGTCTGCAGAGAAAGGAAAACATCCCAGACTGGATGAGCAGGAGCAGGGATTGGAATGCCTTGCTGTCAAAACATCTGACAGTAAAGTTGGGCAAACCATCCAAAAGACCCAAGGACAAATTATGCAACTATTGCAAAAGGGCACCAAGCTAGGGGTTAGCTACTTGCCTAGCTATCCCAGCAAACATAATGAAGGTAGCAAAACAAAACCATCAAAAACAAACCTTGGCGATATGGCTTTGGCAGTCTTGGCGTCGCATCAGCAGACCACACTCTTAGTTCATTGGGCATTGGCCGGGTTTTTGCCTTGCCGACCGTTTCATGGCCTGCGGTCATGCAACTTCTGCACCGGGCCCCACGTTGGTTTCAACGTCTGAAAGCCACGAGTCGTGCTGCCATTGTCTTTCCGCTCACCAGATGCCGCCAAGCTTCTTTAAACAAAACAACGTATAACGATCCCCGTTGATATTTAGGGTGAGGGGTCGGGGTCCCTGTTTGGTAG